GATGCAGGGATGCTCCCGGCCGGCTCTCCCAGCCTCCCAAGGGGCTGGCCGGCCCTTGTCCCCTCTCCAGCGCAGCCCTCCGCGAGGGACGGGGCCGAGCAGGACGTCCCTGAGCAGGAAGAGCAGCTCTGCTTCGTTTCTCGCTGCGAAAAAACGCGTGGAGGGAGAGCAGAGCTCCCCCCTCCCTCCGATGGCTCGTCCCAGCCCGTTCCTTCCACGCTGCTTTCCCAGAGGGATGCTCGGGACTCTGCTCCGGGGCTGCCCCGGCCCTGAGAGGGCTTTGAAGGCAGGAGCAGTGGAGATGGAGGATTTTGGGTCGGGGGACAGCCTTGGGGACACCCTTTTCCCACCTCCCCACGAGTACAGGGACACGAGGCCCTGAGGAGCTCCAGGACAGGCCTCGTTCCCTGGCTGAGCTGCTCCTCATGGATCAGAGGCAGTTCCCTGCATCCCTGTCCCAGGTTATCCCACCTCTCCTGCCCTCAGAGCTCTTCCTTTGCTCATCCTGGTGGGTCCTGACCTTGTGCAGGGTCCAGTCAGAGCCCTCTGGAGTCATGTGGAGCCGCTGGAGTGGTTTTAGGCAAGGAATGTTCTGAGGGGGGGTCGTGCCAGGCTGAATTTCCCCTCGTTCCCTGCCCCCCTGGCTGGGCTGGGCAGCATCCAGCACCTGGGAATGCTGGATTGCCCGAGGTCTGAGGCAACTCTTGGTGACAATTCCCTTTGAGCTCCAGTTCCTCCTGGTCTGAGGCCCTTCCAGAGCCTGGCAAACAGCTCCTGGCCTGGTGGGGCCCACGGGGTGCCCTCAGAGGGGGGTGGCAGCTCCTGGGCTGTCGTTCCCTTGGGAAATGGGTCACACCTGTAACTGCAGAAGGGCCAGGGGGGGTTGCTGGGAGCAGGTTCCCGTGGCTCCATCTGCATGTGTGATCCTGATGAGATGCTGAGCGGGGTTCCAGCGGCATCACCTTTCTCCCAGGGCCAGGGCAGCAGGTGGAGAGAGACAACTCTCTCTCTCTCTGCGTATACATGTCTTAAAGGGATGGGAAGATTTCCTCACTTCCACGGTTCTGGAGTTGCCATGGGAAAGGATGGAAGTTGTGGCTTTCCCCTAAAACCCATCAGGAGATCAGCTGGTGCCTCGTGGCCCCTGTGGGGGCAGTGCCAGAGCGGGGCCATTCAAGGTGGGGGGGACATCAGGGAGAGAAAAGACCTGTTTGACCCCAGGAGGGAACTTCCCCCCAGCTCAGGACTTCTCTTCCCTGTGCAGACTTGGAGCCTCTTCCTCCTTTGGACTCTCTCTGTGTTCCCTGCAGGAACTGAAACCCTCAGGGTTGTAAACCTGACCCCTCTGGGTGGCCAGGGAACGTTCCCTTCCTGCCTGTCACTCACAGACCACAAACCTTGTGCTCCTCTGTGTCTCTCACCACAAGAGCACCTTGCTGAGCTCTGGCCACGCAGCTCCTGTGAGAAATGAGTGTTTTAAAGCCATTTCCCCCTGGCTGTGCTCCCTGGTTGTGTCAGACAAGGGGCACTGGGCCCCTTCCTCTCTCTCTCCCAGCAGCATTTATCCCCCAACATCTGTGGCACAGGAGGGCCCACAGCTGGGTTGGAGAAGCAGAAAAGGCTGTGCAGTGATTAGAGGGGTTTGGTTTGGATTTGAGGGTAGATTTTCACCTGTCCCCCCCGGCCAGGTTGGTGCTTTTCCCGTCCTTAGAGCGAAGAATTTTTGTCCCATTGCTGCTTCTTCGTGGAAACCTCGGGGCAAACACAGGGAGGGGTTGTTTTGGGGTGGGAAGATCCCAATCAGCTGAGGAAGTGTGGATTATGAGGCAGGGAAGGACCCCCAGAGTCAGCTCTGCTGGGCTGGGGGTGTCCCTGCAGAGACCTGAGGGACAGATCTGTCCCCTCCAGGTGGGGCCTGAGGGTCTCAGCTCCCTGTCCTGCTGAGTTCTGAGTGCACAAACGGGATGATGTGTCTGTAGGAGCTCGCTGGGGCTGCAAACCCCCTCCAGAAATTAAGATTAAGCTGCTTTAGGCAAGTGCTCCCACCCCTGGGAGCCTCCTTGGGTTCTGCCCCATCCTCCTGCCCCTGTGGTGTCCGAGCTCCACAGTCCCTGCCGTCCTTGGTGTGTCCCCTGTGTGACACCAGCCAGCCCTGAGGAGTTTGATTAAAAAGCAGCAACCTGAGCCCCTCTCTCTGTGTTAGTTAAACACCCTGGAGGACACCAAGGCCAAGCTCTGCTGAAACAGGACCAGGAAAGGCTGGATTACCCGGAGCTCAGCCTGTGCTGGTTCTCCTTCCCCGAGCAGGGCAGGGAACCCAGACAGGTGAAACCCAGGGCACAGCTCTGGATTGGGGCACAAGGATGGGCTGGAACAGCCAAACCCAGGCAGAGGCTTCCAGCCCTCTGCTTCCCACCTCTGCTGCTGGGATTGAAATGCCTGGAGTGAAAAATGAAGTGAGGAAAATCCTCTCAGTGTAAAAGCTGGAGCTGGGGGTGGGTCAGGATTTGTTCTGCAGTGGGTGAATGTTCTCCACTTTTGGCCCAGACACCTGCCAGCTCTTTTTTTTCCCGGTGGTGTCCAAGTCTGTAGGACGTTGCAGTGCCCTCTGGAAAGGAACGGTGTCGTGTGCCTTGGAAAACGTGCTGGGGGAAGCCGGGTTGGGAGTGAGGGATGGAGTGCAGCCCCGGGAAGCTGCACAGGGAGGGTTCCCGGAATCCCTTCCAGCGCCCGATGCCCCTTTTCCCCACCCAAGGTTTATTTTTCCAAGGTGTGACTCGGGAGGGGGGGAACGTCCCCAGCAGTGACCACTNGGAAGCTGCACAGGGAGGGTTCCCGGAATCCCTTCCAGCGCCCGATGCCCCTTTTCCCCACCCAAGATTTATTTTTCCAAGGTGTGACTCGGGAGGGGGGGAACGTCCCCAGCAGTGACCACTTGGAGGGCAGAGGAGCGGGGAGGAGGCTCCAGCGTTTCCTCCCCTGCCCCGAAGCACAAACGCTGGAAGCTCCAAACGGGACAAAAGCCACAACAATGGGCCCTTTCTTCCCCCCCGGGGTGAGGCGGCTCGGCGGGGGCTGCTCTCCCCGCCCTGCTGTGTCAGCGCCGGGGCTGGGGCGGGGGTTCCTCAGCCCCCTGGGCAGCTCGGAGGGTCTCCAGGGGGAGACCCTCTGCTGCTTTTCTCTCTTTAGGGGTGAGAAACTGAGGGAGAAGTGATGTCTGCTCGGTTTTTTTTTTTTTTTTGTATTATCATAGTGGTCCTTTTTTTCCACGTGTTTCTCTGGGAAGTGTTGTCTGGAGACCGACCCGGGGAAGTGGTGCAGGGATGGGGTTAGGGTGGAGCTGGAGCTCTTCATCCCCTGCTCGGCTCACTCCCTTCTCGTGGTGGGGTGACAGTCACTGCCCCGGGGTGCACAGGGTTGTGGAGAGCCCTTTCTTTGGGTTTGGAGAACGGTGACTTTTTGCTGGTTTTTTTTTTCCTGAAAAAGAGCAGGGAGAGATGAGAAATCAGGAAGGAATTCCCGGCTGTGAGGGTGAGGAGGCCCTGGCACAGGTTGCCCAGAGAAGCTGTGGCTGCCCCTGGATCCCTGGGAGTGCCCAAGGCCAGGTTGGAGCAACCTGGGACAGTGAAAATGTCCCTGCCCATGGCAGGGGGTGGCACTGGATGACCCTTAAAGTCCCTTCCAATCCAACCCAGCCCGGGGTCCTGCAGGCTCTGTGCCCCATCCCTGAGGTGGCAGGAGGTCCAGGAGCAGTGTCCGGGCTGGGGACAGAGGGGACAGAGCCTGGGAAGCCACACACGGTGCCGTGGGCAGCTCGTGGAAGGGGCAGGAGCTGCCGGTCGTGGCCGGGCTTTGAATC